CTACGTAACCTATCTTAAATATTTGCACAAGACTTAAAGGGGGAAGTCTTAGATCGACAGCCAATCACAAATAAGAAATGTCTGGTACTGTCTGATAGTCATTTCTCCGCCCATCAGTCAGTGATCAAGGAGTAAAAAAGGGTTTTGACATCCGCGAGATGGAGCCAAGATGCATTGGTTTGAAGAGTACGTCTTAATCAAATACGCCCCTCCTTTGGAATGTTTAAACAGCACACAGACTGTAAGGTGAGAGAAAGGAGAACAGTCCAGTGTAAAGTGTCGTGGCGAACAGTCTACCGAACGTCCTCAGTTCATACCTGGCTCACAGCAGTCAGTGGTGCTGCTTTTTAATAAGATCACAGGAAGAAATTCGTACGTCGGTTACAGGTAACAAGTACATGATTATATCCGTCTGTTGTTCTACGTCTACCACCCGAAGTTACTGTCTTCTAAATCTGGTTAAGTTATGGGGCGAGAAATATTTGAACATTGTAATAGGTGTACACGTGGTGTGCCTTTAAAACTTACTCAGAGCACGAGAATCCCCAGACCATTCATTGCCTACAGTCACATCGGATAGTTCGGGCTTTCGCTGACAACTCGCTGCTGGATACTTAACATTTCTTTCAAACTAATCTGTCCCGTAGTCTCGTGAAGTTCAGAAACGCCTACTGAATTAGTAACACTGAAATAGGTCTGTAGTTTAAGCACTTTCGCTTTGTATTTTTTATTAAAAACATGGACCGAAGCCATTAAGAAAGAAATACTGAGTAACGGACGGTCTCGTCTTGGCTCGTTGCAAAAATCAAGACTTACAACCTACCAGCAATGTTACATTTGAATATGATATTTTCTGAAGAGTGATTGTAAAGACCTGTTGATTATTCGTGTATGTGTATATAATTTTCAAACACGCGTTTAACACTTTACGTCAATTTTTCTTTTAATGACATGAAATCACCTGTTGGTGAGATGCCATCTTATTAGGGCGTAAGGGTGTGGCTCAATGACGTCACGTTGTTGCACATTTCTGCCCTGGCTTTCAACGTTTCCTGCAGAAAGTTTTTCTGGATAGCCTATAGCCCTCGCTACTAGGCCTATTGCTATTTCTATAAAATATTGTATCTTGCTGCTTGTACAGTATTTTTCTTTGTATTGTCAGAAAGATAGTGTAACATATAGGGTTAGGTGTGGAGACTGGTTCAGATAATCCATAGACTTTTGACCTTATTTTTCATTGGAACATTCCAACGCACAATTAGACCTAGAAATGAGCATCAAGACAAAGGAGTTTTGTAACGTTGATTAGTTATGAAAATTACACTATTTAGGTTCAAGACGACAAATCTCGCACGCTTTAAATTCGCATGAGCTGTCATAGAAGCCTGAGACTGAAGTTTATAATTAAAAATAATGTGCATAAACAGCATATTACAAGAAGAGGGAAAGATGTTCTGAAACGCCGTATAATCAAATTACGCCTTAGACCTATAACGTGAAGACGCAATGTCAAGAGATGTATCATAATTTGAAAACTAAGTCTGTAAATCTTTTGTAGTACGCGCAATCACAGAAGTAATTTAATACTGCAATTAAATTATGCGTGTTCCTACACGTATATCTTTATGATTTTATTGCTAGTAAAGCACAAAACACTCTTCATCCAGAGAAATCTAAATAGAAGAATATGCCCTCATTACATGTACATCCCAAGTGTGTAAATATTTAACAGAAGCTGACAATTAAATGTCCCTATGGCATAATGAAATGTGACTTAGAAACGAAGTGACGTGTCAATAGTCAGCCAGCTTCAACAGCTTAATCTGCGGGAAATTATACTAATCAGTTTCGAATAATTTCCCGCAGATGAAGCTGTTCAGATCAAATGCTAGCTCAACCAACATACCAACAGCTAGGGTTTCTGTCCTTCCTTCTTTACCTGAAGACGGTGGAAGATCCAGCTTCCGAAACGGTGTGCTTTTATTTGTAATTTAGACGATGGACAAAGTCTGAAAAGGCAGTTTTACAGATTAAAACGCACCGTCGTCGGAAACCTTCGGAATTTATTTATACATCTATTCATTACCGCGTTCACAAGAACCCCAGCAGTAAGTTGGCAGGCCCTCAACTCTGAGTCTGCCTGGAATCGAACCTGGATGTGTCAGTTTCCGAGTTCCGGATGTTTGTGCTTATTGTTTCAGTACTTGGTCGTTTGACAACGCCCACTGAAGTTTGTTTAACTACGCGAGCGACTGCTTTAAACAATTTCAGAACGGTGATTCCCTTTGGGGCACGCGTTTCCGCTGGTTGCGTAACTCCGAGTGTCAGAACTCGGCAGTAAGGTGACCTAATTCTAAACAATAATGTAGGCCGCGGAAAGGGTGGTTTCATGTAAGAACGTCCGGTTCTGCGTCACCTTTTCATTTATCAACGAAAATAAAATCGGGCTGATCACTTTTAGAAGCTTCGGGGATTTCCACGTATGATGGTGTTTCCGTAACATGTTACAATGATACACGAAGAACTGTAAAAGGTAAGATGTAAAACCGTTTTGATTTGAATTTGTGACGTTTAAACGCTCATATTATTAAGCCATTAGTAGGCCTAGAAGTAATAATTTTAGTATTACCATTAGCATCACAATATACAGTCTTATACAAATATATTTCTATACGTAAATGGTAGGTTATTTTACTAGATGTACGCCTACTTGCTTCCTATTTAATTTTGCTTTAATTTTTAAATAGATTTCGTATTATTATTACAGCGCGGCTGTTTTGAACGATGCAACTAAAAAGTGAAGTTATTATTAGGGTTATTTTCATTAATATCATTTATTATTTTCATATTATTATTGTTGTTGTTACTATCTACAAAAATCCCTATGAATATTTAGGCCTATGTGGAATTTAGGCTGTTTAAAGGATAAAATAATCGGATATGCCTATAAGAATTGCAGGAACATCATCATATTCTTAGAAGACGGTAGTCATACTAAATGCAATGTTTTACCACCATATTTATACGAAGTAAATTAATCACACACTACGATAGCTGTTCAGAAACCGCGATTTACCATGCCTGAGTAAGAAGTATTATCAAACCCCAGTTACAAGCTGTTATACTAAGTCCCGTGCCCTATGCAGACCCATTACGTCTTCATATCACATTATACCAGCTATTAATTTATATTTCTCTGAACCGTTCTCCGTTCATTGATAAATGTCGTCTTGTCCATGTTGATCTTCTGATTAATAACTCCGTATTGATTTGTAAGTAGATACCAACCTGAAGATAGATACCGTGTGTTCCTCCGAAACGTTGGTATCTACGGAGTTACTAAGCAGAAGACCAACATCAATATCTGCACTGCCGTGAGAACCTCAAACCTCATATAAAGTCATTACTCTTAATTCATATGGACTCTACACGAACTAGTATTTATAGGCTTATTTGCTCTAAGTAATGTAGTTTAACTGAAATTAATATTTCGTTGAAATCTCTTCAGGTAAAGAATCAATTATATTGTCATTTCTAAGTGGTTGGGTGAATGAAAATCGAGTAAAGAGGTCAAATCGTGCAGGTACCACGACAGTTAGGGAGTTTTCTTTAGTCGTGGCTGGAAATACAGCGGAACATCTTGGGACGGATGTCTAGTTTCCTGCCGTGAGACAACATCCGTATTTGGTCTCCTCCTCCCCCCCTTCTCATGACCAAACAAGTTCGCAACAAGTAACCAGACTATACATGGAACGTCGTGTGACGTACCTGTAGCAGTCGAGACTCTCCGTAAAATAGTTCCACCGCCGCGTTTCTGTAATGAATGTTTCACCGTGAAGTAAAAAGCAAATTTTGTTCAATATTTCTTTTAGTAAAACAAAACAAACAGATTCGCCAAACTACTTTACTCACCCAACCTGAATCTTCTTTTGCTCTCTGGAATTAGGCTCACGTCTGGCCCAACTACATAGATACCTTTCTATGCCCTTTGGTTTTGAAGAGAATGTTCCAGACCGTATTATTGTTTTTATGGCGCGTCACGAATTTTATCTGACGATCTGATTCAGACGAGAATAAATGTTTAGCTCCTTCTTTGTGTATTCTTTTTAACACTGTACAGTACATATCTCAACCCTTCATAACGTAACGTAACTGGGACCCGGAGTGCTCAGGCACTCGAACAACGGGTCGTCGAAGTATCAAAGTAAGTAGTATCATAACGTAACATAATTATTACTCACTGAGTTTGACTAAAATGCTTGTTTCTTTTAACCAAACGCCTCATTTAATTATATTACACAGTGTGAAAACTGAAAATACTTAACAAAATTATAGTTTCGCCATTTTAATGCTTTGTTCTCAGTCCCAGATATTCCTGATGCAAGACCAGATATTATTTACATCACAATTAGCGTCTTCTGAAACACGACTTTCCAAGTAGTTATAATTTGGAACTTCCGCAACTGAATATAAAACATTTTACAGCGGATCTTATATATCATTTTCGAGGTTATGACTTTGATTTTCATTACTGATATGTTCATCACTGAAACAATATGCAAGCACGCCCAAACCAGAAATGAAAAGACTGCTGAATCTCTTTCAGTTATTTAGGTCAAGATTCCTAAGCAGATAATCCGGAATCATTCATAGTTCGTGAACAATTTCTAAAAAATTCCCTGAATATTTCTATAACCTAACAAACGCCTTCATTTATTTTGTGTTCAAATGTTACGACGATGAGACGAACAGGTGCTACAACATTACATTATTTCTTTAGACGTCCTTTTATACATGTTATCGGAAATACTCAAAATCCGTCTGAACTAGTTTGTCCTAGGTTAAACTAGACACTCCCGTCGCTTGTAGGAGATTAGGTTAGGACATTTTATAAACTCCTAAGAGCTTCAGGAGTTTTAGTTTCGCCAAGGACATACTAGTTCAGACGGATTTTTGGGTATTTCCGGTGACATGAAAACTATTGTTCACATAACTTGCAGGGACGTGATAGCCATGGAGCAGAGTAGGGACACAGAAGCCGAAACCCTGCCACAAGCTGGAGGACGATCTGTCATCACGACACGCAGACACGTGAGAACTATCACCACTGCGGGTCACATCACCACGGGACACGTGGCCGATGACGACGAGGAGTACGAAGAAAACCAACAGGTGATAGCCGAATGGCATTCATAAGTCATCTTCTGTCTCTACTGTCTATGAGTTTGAAATAACTACAGCCTTTACTTCTCCATTCCACTTCTTAAGAACGGCTATACACCACTGAGTAAGTGAGAATATGTTAGGGCTTCATGCCACGAAAGACACATCTATTATTGAAAATTTCTCTTGGCTTATATAAATTTACTTTTCCAGCATCTTGATCATGGTCGACAAACAGCGACGCCCTCTCTGAACAATCAGCAGCAACAGCAGCTGCTGAAACAGCAGACAATCGTGACGGCATCCCCACATAACAATGAAGTGTGTATGACGCACAGCCCCATGTCCAGCAATCACACGCCCCCAGGCTCCGTGGGACAGCCACACGTCTCTGGAGCTGGACAACTCGTAAGTATCGCAGAACACAGTCCATTACGTATACTTTGCAATGAAGCGGACGTCATCCGTCTGTCCGCATTTTTCATCTCCGAAATTACCAAATGGAGTACAAAGGATTTTCGTGCTGTGCAAGTGTTTCAAAACAGAGTATAGGCAAAATATTTTAAAATTAGAAGAATACCAGGGTGTAATTTAAATTATTACAATTAGATAAATTTCGAGATTTTTCAACCACGCAGTATTATTAGGTTAGTGACATGTAGCATGCAACTAACAAGCAATGCACACAGAGCTTTCTTATAAACCTTTCGTGCACACAGTAGATGATAACAGAACACAAAATTAAGACGATCCTTGATGAGGTTAGGAAGATTGATGAAGCGCAATCAGTTTGGTGTGCAATGGCAGTGGTGTTAAACCTCCTGGTTCTGATTCCAGAGTTAGTTCAGTCACTGCTGCATCACTATTATTGTCTATTCTTTTATTTGTAGTTAAATACCAAAGAAACTATAAACACCAATGAACCTTCACCGAACGGACAACAACAACAACAACAACAACAACAACAACAACAACAACAAAGCTATGAGCAGCAGCTGCCATACAGTCCTTCTCCTTCCAGTCAGGTGAGATACGCGTCGCCCATAAATCAAAGCCTCTCTGTGCAGCCGCAATCCGCCTTGTGTTACACCCCTACAACAGAGCACTACCACCAACAGCAGTCCAGCCCACCGCCGCCTCTCCTGGCCATCCAACACCATCCAGTGACCACAAACATTCAGCATCGCTTCACACCTACTCCCACAATAGGCAGAACAACAGGCAACGGACAACCGCGGTATGACTCGCCGACGCTGGACCACCAGCAACAGGAAGTGCAACAGCAGAGATACTCTGCGACGCCCATCCCTGTTAACCAAACCCACCAGCTGCTTCCACCACAAGAACAGCAACAATTGCAGGGATACCAACACCACAATCACCAAGACATGACTCCTTCACCAGAACTTGAATACATTCATCACCATCAGATGAATACTTATGGTGACACAGGTAATCCTTCATTGCAAGTTAAGAATGAAGGTCATGAAGAAGGTGGGGGTACAAGTAGTGCTAAGTTGGCTCAATTGCAGACGCTTAAGAACGAAGCCAACAGCAGTAACAACACCTCTATCACTCCCCCGGGCAATGCCACTCTGACACAACAAATAGCCCACCAAACTGACGGTCAGGGGACGACATACACCACCCTAGAGACCGTGTCCTCAGTCAACACATACCATGCAACTTACGCCGAGAACGCCGTTCCTTCACCGTACCAGCTGCAGCAGACTTCCAGTATATCATCCCCAGGATACTCGCCATACCTTCACAAGACCGCCAATGCAGAACTTTACACGCTGTATCCTACATCAGCTGGAGGAATGACAAACAAAGTGGTCTCCCTCGGATCCTCAGAAAGTCCACTGATCTACACAAAAAGTGACCCAACGTTAACATCAACTTCAATATCTGTCAATTCTAAATCTTCGACCCCACAACTTTACAGCGGCATGCAGGTACATAACCAATCCCTTACCTATGACCAGCACCAAACATCAGGATCTCCGACCTCTCAGCAAATCACTCTGTATGGTCATGGAGGCACGGCGAGCTACATCAGTAAGTTCCCGATGCCTACCGATCCATCTACACAGTATTGGACTACATCTGGCAATGGATCGCCCACGGCCTTAGACTATGTTGGCTCAGGTTATGGAGGAACGGCCTTACAGAACTCTGTGGTTACCGACGGTATCACAACGTCGTCTCCAATGCAAC